TTGCCCCTCCTGCCCCACTCGATTCTCCACTCTCTCAACCCATATTATCCTCACGTGCTGCAACTGCGGTCGGTCACATTATCCTTTCGCTCCTCCATAATACATCTTCTTGCTCTCTGCACGCGATCTCCTCTCTACCCTCCTCTCAAGTCTAGGTTTCACCTTCACAATAAACAAACACCACTCTACCTTTTCCCAGACACCGATTTCCCTATGACCCACCACCCCTCCCTCACTTCCCTCCCCTCCTCCCTCTCCCTCGCTTCTTCTCCGGGTAAAACAAGTGTTTCCCATGAACCCTGCTTATTGATGACCTTCCCCTTACCCTCCTCCCCTCACTCTTTCACTACTCTGCTCCCATCATACCTCTCTCTCTCTCTATATTCTATCTAATATTATTGAATCCATACAATAAATTATATTTCAGTCTTATATCTATACATCTATATATTAAAAACTATATCATAAAAATATTGTAAATCTCTATATCTAATCTCTTTATCTCTCTCTCTATCTCCATCCCTCAAAATAAATATATATATAAATATAAGCTATATTATATATCTATATATTATTTATCTTACTATATCTCTATCATCATACTCTATCTCTATCTTATATCATTAAAACATTACTATAATGATAGAGAATTACACTCCGGAAAATTTATATGCACACTACTATCTCTGAAAGTGATTATCTGTACTTGAATGAGCAGTACATTATTAGCAATATACGGAATTGAGATCCCGTCATACTTAATGCCAGCCAGTGATGAAGATGTCAATTTCATTTACTTATATAATCATACTATATAGTGATAGCTATCTCTGTATTATTAGATGTGACGTTATGCGGTGAAAACTTCTTACCTATCTCTCTATACTATATGAAATAAAAGATAGATAGATAATGAATATAGAATAATATGATAGGATAAGTATAAAATAGAATAAGACCCTATCTATATATATATATAATAAATTTTAAGTATATAAATAATGTAATGATATATATAGATAATAATAGAAGGAAAAGTATAAAGAATAATGAATAAAATTATCACATCTATAAGTATGAGAATAAATAAGAAAAAGTAAATAAATGATTATATGTAATATGAGTAGGAATTAACAACACAACTATACAATATGTAATAAGAAATGTAAAAAATGGAATACTCGGTCTGTAAGAGAGAAATAGAAAATAAGGAATAGCATAAGTAAAAGAATAAGTAAAAAGATAAATGATATAAAAAGACCTTCAAGAGAGTGATAATAATATAGTAATAAATAGAGGAATTAGATTATTATATGAATAAGGATGAAGTAAATAAGAAAGAAAAAACCTTCAAGAGGAAAAGAAAAATAGGAATAGTAATAAAGATGTAAAGTATAAATAAGAAATGAAATAAGACCCTTCAATGAATGAATAAAATTATAGATAATAAGATATATAAGGAATTATAGATTAGTAAAATAAGGATGAAGTGATTGAAAAAAAAAAGATTGTTAACCCGCGTTCAAAGAGCTAAAATATAGGAAAAGATAGGATAATTGAGTTTAGAATAAGGAGATAGATATTAAAGAAATGTAAAATAAATATATAAAATTAGACCCCTATAGAGAGAAATAAAATATTGGATAAAGAAGAATGCCTATGTGAGAGAGAGACCAGAGAGAGATGAGTGTGTGATTGAGAGGAGGGAGTGAGTGTGGGTAGTGAAGAGATAGTGTAGAATATGTACCTCCTGTCCATGATAGTGTGAGATGAATAGCAAGTCATAATTTTACTCGTAAGCTAGGGAGTGATTAGTCCAAGGATTGATAAGTTAAAGAGACACTAATATATTAAACAAAAACACTCCAATTGAGAGAATATTTAAGATGAGCAATGAAGTATTATTAATGAGTGAATAAATGCCAGAAAATAAATATCAGATGAGATGACCCTAGATGTCCATAACATAGATGATTTTCACAATATGAAAAGTTGAGAGTATAAAAAAAGAATGCCCAATGAAGAGGTGAATAAGAGTAGAGAAGGACTAAACAAAATTTCTAAAAATACCCCTTATTACATTAATAGTCAAATTATGATATAATGAAAAATAAAGTGGAACTCGAAATATATTTTTATCTTAGGGTATGGATAACTTTCAAAATCAAATAAGGCAGTGATAGCCTTATAACATACATTATTCGAAACTAAAAATGACACCATCGACCAAAAACCTGCAATAGAAAGAGAATGGAAAGCACTTCAATATAATAAGAGCATTTGTAAATGATTTAAACAGAACAACATGGGAGAATGATATAACCACTTCCCAATTTAACAACCGCAGCTATCGAAAAATTATTAGATTATTTGTAGATCGTTCAATGACTCGTATTCAAGAAATATGACAGAAAACAAGAATATTAGCTTCACAAAAAACCCTTCAAGAGAGAAAGTAAGAAAATAGAAAATAAGCAGATCAGACACCGTTGAAGAGGTATAAAAGGAATTTGAAAGGACTGGAAGTAGTAAAGGTGACAAGCTAACAATGAGACAGCCGGTGCCTAAATTAGAAAAAATATAAATTCATTAAACTACAAGATATGAATCCAAGTTCAACTGGAAAATGTACGGAAAGTAAAAGGGAGAGAAAGATGATACATTTCCCAACACAACTGAACAGAAATAAAAGGCCTAGATTAGAAATGAAAAAAAATCTGAGTGTACAATCATCATACATGACGCGGAATAGCACAATATAAATGAAATTTATAATGAGTCCACACCTTGCAAACAAGAAGATACAAGATTAGAAATTCGAGCAATGTGAAGGCAACTTCATACATTGGAAGGTATGACAAGCAGTAGCTTGTAGCAGCCTCTCTGTGACAACAGTGGCTTTGCCTGTTCTTACTGTGTCCTACACAGACCTGAAATTACCAGGTCAATCTTTGCTGTGGGACATTTTTAAATATGTACAAAGTAAGAACAATAACATTTTACTTCCCAAAACTGACAAAAAATAACTGATTAACTATATTATGCATTATAAATTTTCAGTGAAGGATAGAAAAAGTGAAACACCATCATGACCAAGTAAACAGAAATGATGACTGTGTGAAATCATAGTACAACAAAATGACAATAAATATGCCATTATAAAGAAAAAGGAGAAAAGAAGAAAACTGGAGGAGGGCTCTCACAACCAATGTGTTACTTAAGTCAATTTACTGTATAAACTCTCAATTTTGAGAAAGTGCACCACTGTGTCACATGGGTATTGGTACTTGGCTCACTCTGCATGCTAAGCAACATTTAAGAGACAATTTATACAAATGGGAAGCAGATGGGGCGTTTTAGCTGGCGAGATCATAATACTTATATTTCATGATGTGTCTAATGCTGAAAGAATAATTTCATGACAATATCATACTTTCTTTATTATTATAAAAAACAATGGTAACGCAATAATAATGAATTTACAGTTTCCATAAAATTTTGCACTTTCCTGTGCAGTAACCTGATTGTGAGTACTGACCTCCAGCAGCTCTTAAGTGCTCAGACTTGTGTCTCACTATGTATGACCTTGCTTGACCTTATCCGCCCCACAGAGGATATGGCACAAAGGTATTTGAAGCAATGACACATATCCGACCAAAGGAATTCATAACCTGTGATCTTTGACATTAAATTTTCTCATAAAGGATCCATATCTACATCTGTAACTCTTTTGCCAAAATATTTTGTTTGATGACCCTGGTAATTCTCTAAAGGACAGACATTACTAATATGCCATTAGCTATAGAATTAACAAGATTATCTTCTTATGCCAAAATGTTGTCAAAGAAAGATCCTTATCATACTTCTGATCATCTGTCCTTCAGAAATTTCCTCAAGCCTAAAGACAATATCCTGCATCTCTCTCCCCTGGTCGGATATTTATTCAACTAGACTACATGAGAACATTCTGAACTACGTCAGCTTTATATTACGTCACATCTTCTGTACAAAATATAAATGATTATAGGTTTGAAATGGGCTTAGAAAAATTCACCTTGAGATTCCTATGAAATATGAGATAGTTAGTATGAAATAATTTAATAGCACACAAAAAATAAAAGGGACTTTGATGTGATGATTACATGCAACAAAAGTGAAATCATATTTTACAAGTAAATAAAAGCTTTGATAAAACAATCATACAGTTCATAAAAAAATCATCTGAACTAATCTAACACTGATCACTATATACATCCTGAAACTTAAAAATAATTAATTATGGATATTTGCTTTAGAGTTTAGTTTTAAAACCCAAATGAAATATCAGTTATTCCACATGACTTATGTTAGCTATGTATACATTACACATATTTTGATATATGACACACATTGCATGCTGCAACGGATATTAAACACAACGGCTTATGAGGTAAGTAGTCGAGGAGAAAGGTATATATCTAATGAACAGTTATCAAAACTGCTGACTTATACATGCAATCATGCCAGAGCATGTCTCTTAAAGCAACAACTGCAGTGATTAGATTTGTTTGTTATACTGCTGGGCAAGCTAATGGAAACTATAAGTTACTGCTATACAGCTTACACCCAGACTAATTTTGTTTAGGGTACATCACTGAGTCTTCCCTACTGTAATCTCCTTTCTCTTCCAATCAGGACTCAAAATACAGGATAAATTTAATCCAGACTACCATATTTATGCATGCATACCCACACATACACACATACATAAATATACTGTATATGTATATACACACACACAAGCAAACAAACATGCACACGCACATGCCACGTGCACACACATACATGTGCACGCACACACACATACACACACGTGTACACACACACATACACACATGTGTACACACAAACACATGTGCACACACACAAACACACATGCACACACACACACAAACACATGTGCACACACACACACACACATACACAAACACATGTGCACACACACACACACACCTCTATGCACGCACCCACTGACATATATATATATATAAACACACACATACATATATATGTGTGTGTATATGTATGTATGTATATACATATACAGCAGCACACATATATACACTTACATACATATATGTACACTCTGAAATGTCTATTACATGCCTTTTCATTATAAAATGGCAAATGTGACCTTTTTGGATAAAGCTGAACTATTACAAAGTCAAACTGCACAATTTATTTCTCTCTATTTCAGTGAATATTACTGTCCTCCCTCTGCTCATTAAAACATAAAGTCTCTGAAGATGTTCCATTCTATGTTTACAGAATGATTCATACTTTGGCTGCCTCTAGTATTTTATGCCAGTCCTTTGGCAATCAAAACACAATTACTGTAACAGCCTGTTTCTAAACTGACCACTTAAGACAAAGATATATATACTATCTTAGGGATACCTGTTGATAACCAATTCTAATCTGACACATTATAGTATTATATCTCTGCACAAAATTACCAGAATTATCTATGTCTATAATACATTTGTGAAATTGGGCAAAGAAAATGCAAAGTCACTGGTTTGGTCCATGGGTACAGGACATGTAGGAGGTAACTTGTTGGCTTCAACAGTTATTCTAATAGAATCTTACAATAATATGATTACATATAAGTTTCAACCCTGGGTGCCAGTTCATCAGCTCCAGTTACACATATCTGGATAAAGACCATTAATCTACTGTCCTTCACTGGTTGATGCAGACACCCTTTTTAATACTTTCTCAACATGTATGTGAACATGTTTGCCTCCCTCAAACTATATTTCACTTAGTCCGATATCAAACAAGCCACATATATAGCACTCTATTGCTCTTTTAGTAGTGTCTTTTCTAAAACTTGCACATTGGTTTTCTTCTTTAGTAACACCGTCTGGAGCAACGACATTTCCTGATGATCTCAATCTCCTTTGTATAGGATGTTCCATCATTACAAATAAGTCGAACCTTGCGTTGCTTAGTTTTGCGTGGTTTGCAGCAGTGAGTGCCACATGTTCCACTGCATATGGCATTCTTAATGGGTTTTCTTGAACGGCACCCATTTTCTACATAGTACTCTGTAAACTGTTCCTTGCGACATGATGGAGCTGAAAATATCATGTCCCATTAAAATATGTCACGAGAAAATCATGTCAATTTACAATGAAAATATAAAATTATTGGGAAAAAATGGCAAATTTCTATGGTACTTTTTGTCAGTTACAAACAATAAAACATTATCAAAATCACAAGTACTATTTACCTTGATCACAGAACCTGCCAGAATATCCAGTTCGACAACGACAGTAATAATCCTGGCCATCTGAATTACGCTTTGGCTTGCATCGTCCACGGCGGCACTTGTGATTCTCACAAGCATCTGCCAAAGCTATGTCCTCTGCTTCTTTCTGAGCTTCTTCAACTGCTGGTGGAAGGATCTGAAAGATATGTAAAATGAACAACTGCAAGAACAATTATTCATATTGCAGTGTGGTGACTATACACCATACAGACTGTTCAAACATAGGTTTGCACATATGCTGAAATCTAAACACTGGAAAGGTTACATAAAATAACTTATTGTGCAAAATTTCAGTTTCTGAACCAAAACTCAAAGTATACTCCATACTACTGGTATAATTATACATTCATTAAAATCTATCTGTGGCTAGTCCCTATTATCTACACACTAACCTGTACTTCATTATTGACAGCATTGTTGCGGCGCCGGCCACTGTGTTTTGCACTTGCAAGGGTGGTAGTCTCAACATGTACCACTCCAAGTCCATTGAGACCTTGATCTCTGACAGTTTCCTCACCACCACAACCTGGAGCTACCTTGTGTTGCTGGCCAGATCCAAGATCAGTCAGTCGGCCATTCACATAAAGCCGTTCCATGCACCCTGAAAAAAACGTTTTTTTATTATACATATACTATTACTGCATTACCTCTTGCTTGTAACTTCTTCAAGCATCTTTTGATTTTTGCATCTTCATGCTTATAATCTCAGGTAATACAACTTACCGCTGAAACTCCCTGTGTCACGAAGATGCCATCGTTTATTTGCCGATTCAGCTGCTTCTTTGGGGAGACCACCAATGAAAAGCGGTGCAGACAGCTGGAGGTATTCATTCACTCCATCATTGACAATGGAACGAGCAGTACCTCGGTCAATGCGCATTGTGAAGTTTTGCTTCACTGTGATGAGTTCAATACTGTGCCAGTTTCCATCATTCACTACTTCATAACTGAAAATGATGATCATAATCAATCAAAAGACATACATATACATATATCCAGAGCCACATGCCACTCTAGATAATTAATAGAAAATCTAATATATCCAAGTCTTACTTTTGCACTTTTTCTCCTGAATTCTAAAACAATGTAAAGAAAAGAGAAAAAAGGAAAAAGAAGAAGAAGAAAAAATTACCTAAACATGTTAGAGACTGGATAGTTGCCAACATCATAGGAAACTCTGATTCTGCCTTTGAACAACTCCACAGCTAGATGAGCGGATTCCCCAGTGTAAAGGATCACTCCATCCTCGCGGTTTGTTCGGAAATGCAATGTGACATTGGAGGAGGGCCGTGTCTTCAATGGATCCAAGGCAATGAAGGAGTTGTTGTTTCCAAAATGTACACGTGTCAAGTATTCACAATGCTTTCCTGGAATCATAATAAAGTTTGATTTGAAATTGAACAATGTTTTCAAACTAGTGTCTTTTACACTTTATAGTACATCATTTTACAACAGTTTCATATTGTTATATCTACCTGAAAATCCAGGCGAACATTTGCACACATAATCCTTGGAGTTGGGAGGAACAAAACATATCCCATTTTGACAGTCATTTTGCTGACATGGAGATGTCTGAAGGAACACTGCTGGACCCACTTCACAAAACTTGCCAGTATGTTCATTAATACACTTGCAAGTGTATTCATTCACACCATCAACACATGATGCTCCATTCTGCAAGAAATGAAAGGTAGCATGAATCCCCAGTTTAAAATTATTCAAATCTAACAAATGTGAAATCTTAAAATAAAATAATCTTTATAACAACAATTCAACAAGTAATCAAATACCTGGCACAAATGGTTGGCACAGTCATCAACATTTTCTGTGCAGTTATCACCAGCAAAGCCAAGAGGGCACTGACACTCATAGTGGGTGAAGTGATCCACACAAGTGGCACCATTTTTACATGGGTTGAACTCTCTGCTGCAGAATGGTATCTTGCGTTCACAGTAATCACCTGAGAGTATTAATGATGATTATTACCTTAGGAAATCATATATATATATATTTTTTGCATTATCATGTATTTAAGAAGCTGCAAATTACACAGAACCATTCTCTTTTGCAAAGGCAGAAACTCACCTGTGTAACCAGGGTTACACTGGCACTTGTATTCTTCAACAAGATCGACACAAGTAGCATTGTTCTCACACTTATTTTCTACGCAGTCATCAATGTTAATTTCACACCGATCCCCTTCAAAGCCTGGTGGGCAATGGCAGCTGAAAGAAGATACAAATATCCCAGTTTGTTATGATGACTTACTTGTAACATTTCTATCACTAACGATAATGAGATCCCTTTTCCAAATATATGAAACATTAAATATTTGAATTTTAATGATAAAGAAAACATCTTTTCTGTTTAGCATACGTACCTAAACCTTCCAGCTTCAAGAACTTTGCATGTTCCCATATTCTTGCATGGATTGCCATAGCAAGCATCAATTTTGTATTGACAATTTGGACCATGATAAGCAGGAGGACAAATACACTTGTAGCTGCGGTTAGGGAGTGGTTGACATACTCCTTCATTCTCACAAGGATGAGTGTAACATAAATCACACTTGGCAAGAACCTAAACAGAAATAAGAGGTAATCGGTATTTGTATATTGTATAGTATGCTGTTGATAAAACAAATTAAAGACTATTTCATCATCTTTGCACTTCATAATAATGTTACACATGCTGTCTCTAGTGTTGACTAACCTCGTCTGGAACTTTCTGTGAACAGTGGAAGGCCTGAGTAGGTGTGGTAAGAATCAGCTTATCCCTCATGGCTTGTGGCTCAGCACATCGAGCAGTTCCAGGTTCCACATAATCTCCTTTCACCCAGTTAGAGAACCATGCCAGTGAGCAGTCACAGTACAGAGGGTTTGCTCCCATTGCTCTGTAAAAACATTGTGAAAAAATGTTTAATCCCTGCATATATCTTATGCAATGTATAGTGGTATAGCTCACTGACGAACGCAAAGGATCAGCCTTAAAATATGAGGACTGATTTTTCTACTTACATGTGTGTGATATAATCCAGGTCCCGGAAAGCTCCATCTGGTATCCTTGATATATCATTGCCATGAATTGACCTATTTAGAAAATAGAAATGCTGATTAGGGCAGATAAATACACATTATTTTTTAATGTGTCATTTGTTCAAACTTTAAGAGAGTATGATTAAAATAAAGAGAAAATGAATATTAACTTACAGAATGCGAAGTTTTCGCAAGCCTGCAAGTGAGTCCCTCTGCATACATTGCAACTTGTTGTAACTCACAATACTGAAAATAATAATAAGAAAATATGTTAGATTAGCTTTGATGAGATAAGAATGAAAATCATTTACACTGATATCTTACTTCACTGTCTTCTAATAAGAGGAGGTGATCGAGACCCTCAACCACTTACAGTGTAGAGAGCTGGTGGAGACTGGAAAAGGTGTTGTTTTGTAATACTGCAATCTGGTTGTTACTCAGGTCTCTGTAATGGAACAAAAACGTTTTAGTTGTGCATCAAAGTCAAACGTTAAGGCATGCTTATAAATAAACAAAAAATTATAATTCTAACAAGTTTTGATGTTTCGTACAACTTACAATCTTGTCAGGGCAGTCAGATGAGAAAGGCGCTCAGCATCAATTTCTGTTATCTCGTTTACATCCAAGTACCTGCAAAAAGGAGTGTGTTAAAATGGTAATGGATGTACAGATTGCACCAATAAAAATCATCTAAAATTAAAACCATACTGCACATGAAGAGGGAAAGAAAACAGAATAAAACTATATATATATATATATATATATATATATATATATATATATATATATATATATATATATATATATATATATATATATATATATATATATATATATTATATATATATATATATATATATATATATAGTATGTTGTGCAATTATACAAAGCAACTATACATATTGCATCAGAGATCTTATCAAAAGAACCCCACCAAGTGAACTTACAGTTCGGTTGTGTGCGACGGAATTCCGAGCGGAATCTCGCGAAGCTTGGCCCTGGAGCAGCGCACCACAGTGCCCTCGCAGCGGCAGTCGGCGGGGCAGCGCTCCTCCACGCCAAGGCAGCCTGTCTCGTCGCCTGGGGAAACGAGGCAAAGGAGTGTAATGCACCGCCAGAGTTCCTTCTCGTGTAGGCAACAAACGAAATGCAAGTAAGCAATGGCGAGTAACCTGTTTCTCCTTTCACAGTGACTTATATTCTGAATATGGCCGTATTTACAAAGCACCATGCATTACTCTAGTTGTGTATTTACATCTACGTCTCTATTGGATAGTGACTACTGGGTCTACACTGCCTACAAACGTATTTTCCACATACTTAGCTGCAATTCTGGGAAGCAATGGGTAAGACAAAGAAAATAAAGCAGGGGTAATTATTCACAAAAATACCAGGGTTAGAAAGTTAACTTGTATAAACTAACTGATATTCCATACACACTAGCAGAATCAATTCACTGTTACCTGTCAGTAACAGACAATAACTGATACTGCTGGAGATATATACAAAGGATTGTAAATATGTAAATGTACATCGTATTAATCACATCGGAGGAACCTCAAAGCTCATGATGTCTCAGTATAACCGAATGGAATGTAGACAAGGAATAAGCTATGAAATAAACCATTAAGGCTATGTTTGTGTCACTCTGCCAACCATTACAAACAAGGGAAAGACCAGTCTGCTGGCAGAATACACGTGCACACGTATTCACGAACACACACACACACACACACACACACACACACACACACACACACACACACACACACACACACACACACACACAGCCTCCCAAAACGCTGTGATTCGATATAGGATCACATCAGAAGCACTCGGCAGAAACGTTTACGTTTCGCTTTACTTCGCAGAAGTGTTTACCTTCGCAGGCGAACTCCGAGCTCGGGACCTCCGTGATGGGCACGTCGCGCAGGCGGTGCGGCGTGTGGCACCGGGGGACGCCGCTCGTGGACCGCTGGCCCCGCAGCCACTCGGCCAGCCAGCCCATGTGGCAGTTGCAGCGCAGCGGGTTGCCCTCCAGGTTGCTGCGGACGGACAGGTTAGATGTGAGCGTGTGCGGCGTGGGGCAAAGGGCAGTGTTTCACGTTAACAACTCATGTGCATAACTTACATTTCGGTGAGCGCCGGCAGCTGGCTGAATGCGCCCGGGGAGATGCATGTCACCTTGTTGTTGGCCAGCGACCTGCGGGGGTTCGTATGAGACTTTAGCAAGGACAACTCTACTGTTGCACGATGAAGAAGCATGGAATGTGCATATGCGAAACAGAGGCAAGGACGCGCACACGACAATACTCACAAGGCTGTCAGCTGAGGGATGCCGTCGAACATCCGGCTGTTGATCTCTGACAGGTCATTGTCTGACAGATCCCTGTGTGTCAAGAAGGGATAAAATAAGTTGCAATATGCCTGATATGCCGAAGATGCTGTTATGTCATGTGGTAAACATTTATACTTTAAAGGATTTCAGGCATATATACAAATATATATACACACACAGCACACAATATACATATATTTAGCGAAGAAATAACACTTTAAAAAGCCTTCGCGTTAAGACACTGGCTTTGGCGCCGAGGCTGCACTTACAGTTCCTGGAGCGACTGGATGCCCTGGAAGGAGCCCTGCGTGATGCGGCGCAGGTGGTTGTTGGACAGCACGAGGCGGCGCAGGCGCGACAGCTCGCGCAGGACGCCCGAACTGCCGATCTCACGGATCTCGTTGTCGGACAGCCACCTGGCGGGAGCAGAGCGTCAAGTGTTGGGCGCTAGGAATGGCTTATGAAATGTGTTGAAATCCAAACGGGAGGGAAATTGAATATGCACTCACATTCTCCCTCTCTCACACGTACACACATACACACACACATTATACATATAAATACATATAATACATACATACATATATATATATATATATATATATATATATATATATATATATATATATATATATATATATATATATATATATACACACCACCATATATGTATATGTATGTTTGCCTGCGTATGCAATATCTCCCAGACGCACTGTGCCGTCATAACAAGCGCATGACTTACAGGTCGGTGGTGTAGGGCGGCAGGGTCTCGGGGAAGCGCGTGAGGCCCCCCGCGGTGCAGTCCACGGTGGTGGCGCGGCAGGTGCAGCCTCGGGGGCACTCCTCGGCGGTCACGCACTCGCCGGCGTACAGGGAAACCGTCTCGTCCGTGCCTGCTCGCCAAAAACAAAAACAAAAATTACATTTATACTTTCTTATAAGAATGACTAAACATTGTACCAGTGCAGATCACATAATAATGCCCTTCCCAATATGATCCCCTCGAATGCACGCAGCACAGGGGGACCCAGCGAGCGACTTACACTTGAGTCGTTCGTCCCTGAGGGCGTTGAGCTTCCTCTTCTGCAGGCGCCGCGGGTTCTCGCACCTGGCGCCGGAGGTTTCGATCGGGTGCAACTCCAGGTAGTCGGACAGCCACTGCAGGCTGCAGTCGCACACGAACGGGTTGCGACCAAGGTGCCTGTTGACATACGGCGAAGGTTATAGTTTAAAATATTTATTTAAGTTTTCGCATATTTACTCACCTTTCCCCTCTTACCTTAAGCTAAAATTCCGTTTTGCAAGAGCTTGCAAAACACCAAAAATGCAACTGTTGCCGAACTGTCGCCTCACACTTTTCAAACAGTTGGTTCAGGACGACTACAAAGCGCTATTTTTTCCTGTTTTTTTCCATAATATACATTGTAACAATCGAAGAGATGCAATTTTACATTAAAATCGTGATCGAAATAATAATAATATTGACGGGGGGGGAGGGAGGGAGGGAGGGAGGGAGGGAGGGAGGAGGGAGGGAGGAGGGAGAGAGAGAGAGAGAGAGAGAGAGAGAGAGAGAGAGAGAGAGAGAGAGAGAGAGAGAGAGAGAGAGAGAGAGAGAGAGAGAGGAGAGAGAGAGAGAGAGAGGGAGAGAGAGAGAGAGAGAGAGAGAGAGAGAGAGAGAGGGGGGAGAGAGGAGAGAGAGAGGGAGAGGGGGGAGAGAGGGGAGAGGGGGGGAGAGAGGGAGAGGGGGGGGAGAGAGAGAGGGAGAGAGAGGAGAGAGAGAGGGAGAGGGGGGAGAGGGGAGAGAGAGAAGAGAGAGAGAGAGAGAGAGAGGGAAGAGAGAGAGAGAGAGAGAGAGAGAGAGAGAGAGAGAGAGAGAGAGAGAGAGAGAGAGAGAGAGAGAGAGAGAGAGAGAGAGAGAGAGAGGGAGAGAGAGAGAGGGAGAGAGAGAGGGAGAGAGAGAGAGAGAGAGAGAGAGAGAGAGAGAGAGAGAGAGAGAGAGAGAGGAGAGAGAGAGAGAGAAGAGAGAGAGAGGAGAGAGAGAGAGAGAGGGAGAGAGAAGGGAGAGGAGGGAGGAGAGGGAGGGGAGGGAGGGAGAGGGAGGGAAGAGAGAGAGAGAGAGAGAGAGAGAGAGAGAGAGAGAGAGAGAGAGAGAGAGAGAGAGAGAGAGAGAGAGAGAGCAGAGAGAAGAGAGAGAGAGAGAGAGAGAGAGCAATATAAAAGCTCCGGCAGTGTGTGTCCAAGGGATTATAGGGACGCAGCCGTGGCAGCATCCCCGGCATAATGGTCCGAACCGCACAGTCAACACACCGTCCTTTATACCGCCTTCTTATAAACATTTGCTCACCATGATTAGAATGGAATATCGAATCTCTCGTCGCGAGGGGAAAGGGGAAGACCCAGAACGCGTGAGTGAAGAAATAAATCATTTCGAACACACTGGCGACGATTTCGGTTAAAAAACACATCGCCGGTAGTAAAATGGATTGCTATAAATGAGGGGTGTGAACGTTCGTTGTCTTATCTAACATCAAGAAACTGCTTTTATGAGGGTTTGTGAGTGACTCACATACAACAAACACAAGCCTTTTTCGGCAACAGACTGAGCGCTGAGGTTGGGGCACCCTTGGCACGCCAGGTCTACATGCCCCTAAAATCTCCCTATACCTTTTCTCCCTCCTTTTCAGGCACAAAAAACGTAAATATACGAGACGATACTTGTGCTACAGAAAATGGACGAAAGGGTGCACGTACGCACAAATGGCGCGCTGACTCATCTCATCTCCCGCTCTCTCTTTTTCGCTGATCCTAAAAAGCAAAAAACTGGGGGAAGGGACCCATAAATCCACGTTTTGCGGAGGCATAATGGGGATGCGGCAGCGGCGGGAGCGCGCGGGTGATGGGTGGCCGTCAGGGGCTGCCGTGATGGGAATATGCGTCTTCCGATGACTAAGATGATCTTAACTCTAAAATTAATGCGGGTTGTCGCCCAGATACGTTATCGCCGACACTAAAATAACGCCGACACAAACACGAAAATTCAAGACCTGTCTCGCCGACTCTATCTCGCGCGACATCTAGAAATACAATGTTCTGTGAGTTTACATCCCCGGCGCTCGAACCCGGCGAGGATGTATACCGAGTGAAAGTATATTCAGGCTCACCTTAAGAGGCTGACCCTCTCTCGCCCTCACTAACTCACTCCAGGTTACACGCGGGATTAAAATTTAAAGGCCCAACCTCGAGCATTAATTTATGGTTATTAGAGGTAGGTCCTGGCATCATTTGAAGACCTGTGCATAGACTGTGCTTCATTAACAGTCTTTGAATCTAGGACGATGCCTTTCTTAAATAAACGGAGGAACATTGAAAAAAACTGAATGAAATATAACTTCACAAAAGGAGATATAGTATGCTGGCGTGTTTACTTATGCATTTAACGTTTCGCAGTTTTTCGCCCGCGGGGTCAGGGGGTACCATGAACTTTTTCAATCCTGTTCTGTTCAGATACTGGCATGACCTCGGGAAGTTTTTGACTAGCTTGTTTTGAAATATTAATTTACGTTGGATCCTTCACGACGACTTCTGCAAACAAAGTGACGTCGGTAACGCGTTGGTCGGTGATCGGCTCGTGACGGAGCGACGACGGCCCACCTTTGTGCCGCCACTAACGACCCCGACCCTTGCCTGACGTCTGTCGCACGCCGTAAACTTGACTGGCTGAGAGATGGCACTATTCAGCTGTCATCCCGACACAATATAATCGAAATGAATAGGACGGCTGGAGGGGTCGGGGCTCAGGCTGAGGGGGTGTCGTCGATCAAAGGTGTTTTTCCAGTTCTACACCCATCTAACGAGATACTCGTGCACGTAAAAATATGAATGGTTCAGAAAATCAAAGGTAAATAGGAAAACTCTTTTTCAAGTCAAATACACTCTAAAATAACTCCATGTACGCTTGTTAAAATAATCACCCATTCACGTTTGCCAAAGAAGCAGCAGGAAGACTTACAAGGTCTGGATGCTGCTGAGGGTGTCGAAGGTGCC